GGAACAGATTGAATAACATTGTTTTAATTACAGTATTCCTAGCGTCTGCAAGAAAGGAATTTACAGATAAGATTACAAAGATAACGTCATTAGATCTTGATGCGGGTTAAGTGTTTTACTAGCTCGTATTTTACTTATCTTTTAAGTCATTTATTCATCAGCATTAAATACAAATTTTAGTCTACCGCTGTTTTTCTCTATCTCAAATTTTATTTTGTATATATTGTGTTATTTTTAGCTACTTTGTATTTATGTTGCTCAATGTCGTCTACTCTAAAAATTTCATTGGTAAATTAACTTTATCTATACATTGATTCCAGTATTTTGCTGTCTTACAACGCTACAATCCGGGGTGCGATTCCCCCGCGGTAAACACAGTAAATAGCCTAATGTAGCTTTGCTCGATAACAAAGAAACAAAAAACTGTCTTATTTATTTTTTTTTATGTTAAGCACAAAGCTACACGATTGGCTATCAGTGTTCTACCCACCGCGGGTTTACCGTTATAAACTAGTGAACCACCGTAGATGGTATTTTTTGCTGTCTTAGGATTAAACATTTCACCACGCAGGACTTAACAGAAATGTTTGTGCTAAAACTAGAAAACGTTAGGCTTAAACAAAAGAACCCTCGATTGTTAATGAACTAAATTAAGAATATATATATATAGTTTTTGTTACCTTTGACGTAACTTTCTTTAAGTCAAATATTTTTCTTTTTTAACAACTTCAATTAAATGACGTCAATTTTATTTGACACAATTTAATATATTTTTAATGACTTGAATTTTTTGTCACAGTGGTGGTTACAGCCTACCGGTGATTAAGCGGTTGTACTGTGGGCTTATAATTCTCAACTTTTGTGTTCGATCCCTGGAGTTGGCATAGCAAAAATAGATCATTATACAGTTTTGCGTCTTAGCTAAACAAAACAAAACCATGAAAATTGGTTTTCTGAGTCTGGTGTGGTATAATAACACAGACCTGCAATGGTTTTATTGTCTTGAAATTCCTGTACGCTGAATCCGAAAATGATATCCATTTTTCTCCATCACAAAACGTCATAACG